AAATGGACCCAATTCAAATTACTTAATTAATTGTTGTTATAAATTCTAGTCATGTGATGGAGTTAGGTTATAGAATTTTACCCAAGAGAATGTGAAAGGACCGCTGTGCTCTATTAGTTATATGTTGCTATTTATGGAAAATATTGTGTTATAATAAGTAGCTTTAATTATTAATATTAATAATGTTCTTTATTATAATAATGATGGTTGCGGTTGGTATACTTTTTAAAATATCATTTCTAAAATCCTATTTCTGGAAAATGTGTTTGGTACATCATTGAAAAATATTTTCTTAAAATATTTGTATTATCCCCCACTTACTCAATCGGCTGTCAACAATCGACCACCACCATCAAACGGTGGTCATCAATCGCTAGAATGGTGCAAGACTAGCTAAATCTGGTTGATCGTGTGCCGATCTTACCTTTTCTGGGCAAATCTACCATGGATCTAACTGAAAAAGACCAAATCTACAGCCAGAATATGACCTACCAAGATATGGTCATTGTCAACAGCTAGATCTTTAGTCGTAGATCTAGTTGTTTCTGATCAATGCACGATCAACCAGATCCAGTCAGTCGTGTGTTATCCCAACGTTGCCTACTGGAGGTGGCAATGGCGGCAGCTAGCAGCAATAGTGGCTACTGACAGATGATAGTGGCTTGGGTAGGTAGGGGTGTTTTTGTTAATTTATAAACTTTTATTGAAAATGATAATTGTTAATGTTTTGAGTTGAATAGAATATGATTGAAATTTGAACAATATTAAAACAAACACATTTCTTATTTTTTAGGATAGAATAGTGGAATAGGATAGTGTATATTTACAACAAGACATTCGATGAATAAAAGAAGGGGTGGGAATGAGTCTATCCAAAGTTTTTAAAACTTTAATGATATAAAAATGATAATAATTGGAGACAACTCCTTATGCTTTGTTCACTAACATATAATCTTTAACTATTTTTATGTGATTGAATGATTCGATGGAGACTTTTAAATATATTACTCAAAAGATCTTATATTTTAAATAATGACTAAAACTTTTTTCTACTCATCATTGGCCAAACGACTTGCACATATCCAAGGTTTACCGAAATGACAAGTTGGTACCCAAAAGATTTTAAAACGACAAACAGGTACCTTCCGTCATGTGCTGTTAGTGATTTCTGTTTGTTCATAGTGAAAAGACTAAAATGCCCTTAAAAGTTTGATATTTTAGTTTTTTATAAATTTCTAAAAAAACCTCCTAGGTTTGCTAATTTAACTAAACACCCTCATATATAAAAGTTTGTTAAATGACAAAAACACCCCCACACCTGCTGTGCCAGATTCTGGCCACCACTGTCGGAATCTGGCCGAAAATTGTGTTACAACACAGACCCCATCGGATCTGTGTCGTAACGCGTCGATCTGGCCTTTTCGGCCAGATCCGTGGCTAATATGGCTGGAAAAGGCCAGATCTATGGCCAGATCTGGCCGTCGACGTCGCAGATGGAGTTTTACGGCCACGATGGCCAGATCTAGCAGTAGATCTGGCCTTTTCCAGCCAGATCAGCACGGATCTGGCCTGAAAAGGCCAGATCTGGCCGTCGAGACCGCAAAACTTCATCTGCTACCTCGACGGCCAGATCGACACGTTACGATACAGATCCGATGGGTCTATGTCGTAACACAATTTTTCAGCCAGATTCCAGCCACCGTGTGGGGGTATTTTTGTCATTTAACAAACTTTTTATATATAGAGGTGTTTAGTTAAATTAGTAAACCTATAGGGTTTTTTAGAAATTTTTAAATTTAACAAAAACTAAAATATCAAACTTTTAATGGTATTTTAGTCTTTTTACTATGAACAAATAAAAATCACTAATAATACATGATGAAAAGTACTTATTTGTTATTTTAAAATCTTTTAGATATCAATTTGTCGTTTCAATAAATCTTGTGTATGCGTAATCGTTAGCCACTCATCATTTTATGATCTCGATCCATTAGTTGATCTATTAGTTGAGGTGTCGTTTGTTCAATTTCTTGTGGTGATGGTTCCTATGAAACTGTGCCATTTGGGAACCCAAGGAACCAGCATCCAATGAATAAAGACATGGAATTTTCTGTCAAATTACAATTATTACAATTTTGATAATTACTGAGCCCAGTTATTCTTTCATTCTAATTACAAAATTCCAATGATAGGTGTACTATTGAGTATAAAGCCTGCAAAACGTGTATATATATAGAAGCAGTTAAAAGGGGAAGAAATTGGCCCTCAGAAAACTGAATAGAGTTTGTGTGCATTAAACATATGTAGTAACAGTACTAATTAATATATACATCAAATATTTCATACATATACGGGTATGTTTAGTGTGTACCCAAGAGTTGGGCAACATGGATTGGGATTAGTGTTTGATTTTACACGATTTTTAAGATGGTGATACTCAACAAGTCTACACTACAAAAGTTATGGGTATGTTTATTTTATTATTTCGGATAGGATTTTTGAAATAGTATTAGAGATTTGGGTTAGATTATTATTACGAGAATAATATTTGAATAATAAATAGATTATTTGGTAGAGTATTTTGATCTTGTTATTTGCACTGAATAAATTATTGATTATTTGTTTGATATATTTTTTATAAATGATTTATTAATATAATATTTTGGTGTATTTTGTTAAAATAATTTATTATTATAATCTAAAAACTTATCAATTTACATTTTAATAATATTAAACATTTGATTGAGAATTTCGTAACCACTAAATATTAAAAAAAAAAACTCATATTAATTTTAAGTACTAATCTAACTGTTTAAAAACACCACATTAATATATATATGATAAATCTACTAATTATCAACCCTTAAAATCGTTTGTACACATATACTCCATTAACAACTATGACCTGGTCATATGTGTTGTCCACAGTTCAGTCGTTATGTTATCCTATACAGTCGTCATGTTGTCTATATGTGAAAGAAGCAGGGAGCTGTGCGTCGGAATAGTTCAGATCGGCCTGACTGAGCTTCGCCAGAGGTTGAATGTAGGTGTAGACCCCACCAATATTACGGTCAAATACGGCTAGAGTATTATTTATTGAATACAACATTTTAAGTAATAAAACAAACACATATTTCAAAAATTGTGCAAGAGTAGTATTTATCGAATACAACATTTTAAGTAATAAAACAAACACATATTTTAAAAATTGTATCCCAAATACTGATAGAAATAGTAACCCAAACGTACCTTTGATTTTTCTGAATGTGTGGATCATTTTAGCATTCATAAAGGGAAGCTGCAGATGGTCCTTTCACTCTACCGAACAAAAAAAAAAGTCATCTTTTCAACATCCATCTCGAATGACAAATTACCATTTAGATCTCAATTATATGTATATCACGGATGGAAACCAGATCAAGTGATTGTGAGTTGTGAATTATATGACCTATTTCTGGGTGATTGAGTAATTCGATAAGGACTCGACTCTTAAGTGTATCACTCAAGAAGTTACGAGTTCAAGTCCTCTTTCGGTTGTTAATAGGGGTAGTCATTGAAATTTTTATCCAACCGATAGTTTCAAGGTCCCAAAGGATTAATTGAGATACGCGTAAGCTGATCCAAATATCCTCGATCAAAAAAAAAAAAAAAATTTATACGTAATAATTTTGACCACAATTAGTTATAAAAACGCAGCTCAATTCTTTCTTTATACAAACATTTATAAGCTTCCAAGGTGCCTGACTAATTTATGTATTGCTTCAAACATGGAACCACGAAAAGGGGGAGATGTTTCCAAACGAAAGAATTTAGTGAAAAAAAAATAGAACACGTGACAATTATATTAAAGAATTAAAGTTGATGCATGTGGAGCAAAATTAGCAAAATTTTCAAGAGTACCAAAAGTTTGTAAAGTCTTTTCAATTATAAGTTGTAAGCCGACGTATGTATGTTTGAGAATTGACCAATCATCCTCGTATAGTGCATTAAAATTTTAGTGATCCCACTTAATATTAATTCTCTGCTTTGAACAATGTTTGCTGGATGGAACCATGTAGCAAAATGGAAGAAATGCAAACGCAAATCGAGAAGAAAGAAGAAAGACATTCTTCTGTGCTTTAAAAAACATTAGGGTTTGTGCGGAGCAAAATTTGCTAGAGTGCATGTGATTTGTCGACCTAAAAACAGAGGTTAGGACAGACTACAGAGTCTTTAGATATGACTTGTAGGCCCACATATAAATATTCTTTTAGCGATATGGAAACATACAAATTAAACTTACAGTAAATTATAGTAATCCCTCTAGCTGAATGATTGTAATATGTATGATTTGCTTAATTTAAACAATGTTGGTTTGTATAAATTATGATTATGACATGTTAAACTGGAAACCGATTGAACTAATTATTTAATCAATATCTCAACACTTGAGCAATCTCTACTCGATAGTTAATATACTATTTAGAGGCATATGTTGCAATATCTCGTATCATATAAAACTTAATTGAATCTTGAACTTATAAGTAATATAGGTGAACTGACAAGTTCAACTAATAGACATAAGTTGAATCTTACTCTTATAAAAAATGGTAAACAACTTCTCCCTTTGTGGTCGAAAGGCAAAACTCTTTAATCATTAAGATAAATTATATTCAGAAAGTCTTGTGTTCAACTCGCAAGAGAGTTATCTATCACATTTGTGTAATTATTTTAATTTATTACGTTTGTAGGGTATTCCTCTACCTGGATGCCTCAGATACCTAAAAAAAATAAAAATTAGTCTATTGGAAGCGTCTTATAGATTGGTCTATTGGGTTTGATCTTGGACTATAAAAGTGGGTAAAGAGACTTGGATTAATCGTTTACTAGACAAGCATTCCACCACCCGTGACATTGCAACCAGTCACATGGCACTGGCACTCTCGTAGTCACTGTTGACTGTCATTATATATAAAACTTAACCACTGCACCCATTTTAAGATAGCAACACAAATCAATACATGGCTAGCAACGGAAGAATATTTCACGTCCTTCTAAGCTTTTCATTGTTTATACTCTTTCTGAGGCAGTCTTATTCGAAGACGATCAATAAATTACAACAAGGCCAACAGCTTAAAGATGGAGATGAACTGATTTCAGCTTCTGGGAAATTCAGGTTGGGATTCTTTAGCCCTCTCATGTCAACAAATCGTTACATAGGAATATGGCACTTTTCGCCAACAGGGAAGGATGATTTTTACTACCACAAAGCTGATGGTTACTACCAAAACAGCGAACCTGTTTGGGTTGCCAACAGGAACACCCCAATCTCGGATAAATCTGGGAAACTTGTAGTAGATAGCACTGATGGCAATTTGAAATTTTCTAGCAATAGCCAAATTCCTATTGCAATAAGTACGGTTCAAGGAGCTAATAATACAAGTGCTATTCTACTGGAATCTGGCAATTTGATCCTCCATTAAAGGGATTCAGATGGATCTATAAGGCGAGTCCTCTGGCAAAGCTTTGATTATCCAACTGATACACTTCTTCCAGGGATGAAACTGGGGTTCCACTTGCAAACAAGGCATGAATGGTTTCTCCAATCATGGAATGATATCGACACTCCTGCTCCCGGGCCATTTACTCTTCGAATGGATCCGAATGTCACAAACCGTTTGATCAGCTGCAGGCAAAGCGAAGAAGGTTACTGGACTAGTGAGCCCTGGCTAAATTATCACTTCAACTTCTCACGTTCATGGGCACTTAACAATTACTACAACTTCAGCTACACTTCAAATGAACAAGAAAACTTCTTCATTCATTCAGCAAGTGGAGATGTACTGCAAATCTTGAGAATCAAGGCAGATGGTGGACTTACAAACGGCAGAGGGTTGTTTGTTTCTTGTACTAAATATGGAGGATGTTGGAAAGAGCAGCGGGAAGAGATTTGTTTGGCCTGGAATCGTACTGTTGATTATGGGCATTTCAGACGGGGCTACATGTTGGGAGATGGATTCAATTTCAGTAAAAACATGAACTTTTTAGATTGTCAAGACAAATGCATCAAGAATTGTTCTTGTGCGGCCTTTGCTCCGGCCGAACGTAACTTCACTGACTGTCAGATTTGGAGTAGAGGAACAAAGTTTAGAAACCAATTGGAGCACAATGCACGGTTCATATTCATGCTTGACTTTCACGATCAAGAAGGTTAGCCTACTAAATATTGAAGTTTTTAGTTTAAATAAGCTCCTTAGATGGTTAAATCCATACTTTTAACACGAATATTTATATTGTTGCAGGAACAGCGAAGAAGATGAAGAAGCCACCATGGTTAATTATTGAAATATTAGGATCTCTAGCTGCTTTGCTGGTAATCATCTTGGGTGCTTTGAGCTATAAAGTGCGGAGAAAGGACAAGGGAATAGGTTTGTAAGATTGATGTTATAAAAGTCTACCAAAACTCCTGAAAAAATTTCATTATTGTTATGCCCGAAAAATATAGGGCTAACATAAGGTCCAGTCAGCCTGTAAAAGTCATAGCATGGGTACACCAGCAGCCTCCTTCTGTCAGAATAGTGGGCGCGTGCCAGGCCAGCCAGGAGCTGTGATGATCCCACGTGTCCAATCCCTGCTCCAAATCGCGCAAATCACTATAGAAGGTGGGCAATGTAACATAAAGAAGGATTTTGCACGGATAATCCCACCAACCCATAGATTCAGTGATGATTGCCTCAATCCATTCCACTATAAATTGAGAGCCCCTCTCTTATTGAAGGGGATTCACATATTTTTTACTTTTGATTAGCTACCCTCTCTCTATAGAATATACAGCATTTGATACCTTGTGTTATCATTGTAAAGTCAGTCAGCTAAAACGACCCGACCCTTATCATTAATACAAACATCAGTGGACGTAGGACTTGCTTCCTTAGCATCCGAACCACTTTAAAACCCCTTTTTCACTGCATTTACTCTCGATTCTTTCTCTTTCACGTGTGTTTTCTGGGCCAGCTCAGCATCTCACACGTGTAGTTCGTTGGTGTCAAAATCACGCATTAACAGTTTGGCACTAGAAGGAGGGCTGATTTAGCATTCATCCTTCATCAAAAGAATCTCTAACCTGTCGGCCCTACAACAGCAAATGGCTCACCGATTTGAACCTGAGAGAACCAACCAGAATACTGAAGGGATCCCTCAAATGCAGAAGGATACCTCCCCCGGGGTGCCCTCGGCCCCACAGACTACCACGGGGAACATCCCGTCAAGTTCACAACTTGACCCTGCCGTTCTAAGTTACCTGGAGGGATTCAATAATACTCTCTAAACGGTCACGCGAAGATTGGACCGTTTAGACCAGGATGTACCGCCCAAGTTGAATGAGGCAGTGCAACCACCAAAAACGCCTGCAGGTCGAACGAAAGCGCGGCAAATGGCGATAGCCCATGCTGCGAGCACTGCAGCTCATTGAAGAAAGGGTAAGCAAGTGACGAATAGGCCTAAAAGCTCAAAAGGCCAAGCGAATGCCGGCCACGCCCCTAGTAGAATACCTGTGGTGTTGAGGCTCGGTGAAAGGGTGTAGCCTGAGCCATCCCACGCCACGCCACATGAAAACCCCCACAAGAGTGCTGGGCGGGGCAGTTCCCATTACCACCAGAACAATCCTAATAGTCGTGCGAAAAGCTATCACACTCCGCAGGCTGATTCGCACCACCGCGGAGGTTGTGAAAGTTCCCCGAATAATGCAACGCCATCACACGGCTCTAGCCAATGTGTGTCAAGATTGGCCGGGACTGCCGGCAGAGGTGAGGGGGGATCCGACCTACGGTCATTCCTCAACCGTAACCGTGAGAGTCGCACCCACATTGCAAAAAGTAATCCTCAGGTAACGCCGCTACCTTAAATTGAAGAGCTGCAGCAAACTCTTGATCAACTAAAAGCTCAACAGAACGAGCAAGGGCAGGTCACATCGGCATCTCCCTTTTCTCCAGTGGTATTAGCCGTCCCGCTACCATCAGGGTTTAGAATGCTCGACATGCAGCCGTTCAATGGAAATTTTGATTCGCAGGATCACTTGTATGAATTCAACGACCTGATGGAGCTTCACCAGGTCTCAGATTTGGCAAAATGTCGGTGTTTGGCAGTGACCTTAACCTCTCATGCCAAACGGTAGCTCAAGTCGCTCCCAGCGGGATCGATCAGTTCATGGCCTCAGATGAGCACGAAATTCCTGAGGCATTTTCAAGCAAACAGAAAGTTCTCAATGCCTTTGAGCTATCTCAGCAACATAAGGCAAGAGAGGGAAGAATCCCTTCAATCATATATAGACAGATTCCACAGAGAACTCAACAAAGTAGCTCATACTCCCGAGGAATCTGTTTGGACTCTCATCATTGCAGGAGTTCGTCCACAAACCGACCTGTGGAAAGAGTTACAGGCTGAGGATGATGTTTCCCTCACCCGTTTTTACAATCTCGCGGAGAAGTATTTTCGTATTGAAAGTTCTGTAGCGGCGCTCTACCGTCACGATCGCGGTACGTCAAGCGGTGTGCATGGTCAGGAAGAATGAATGAGAGTTGATCACAGATGGGCTCCTAACGATCAGCAGAAAGGGAAGAAGCCGCGCTATGAGCCCAAAAAGTCTTATGCCCCAGTTCCTCGTTGCGATCGCGATAGGAACTAATATACCCCATTGAATGTATCTATATCGACTATTCTTGACAAATCAGAAAAGGCCAGCCTGCTTGGAGAACCTAAGCCCATGAAAAATCCCCCATCGACCAAGAACAGTAAAAAATATTGTCGCTATCATCGAGACAATGGGCACCATACCGATGAATGCTGAGCTCTCAAGTAGGCAATCGAAAACCTTATCAAGCAAGGACATTTAAAGGAGTATATTGATGACTCCGCTCCATCACAAGAGAAGAATCAGGGAGAGCCAAGTAAGAAGCGCTGTGATCAAAAAGGTGTGTGTACCCTCAATTTGATCTTCGGGGGACCGCACTTCGCCGAGAATTCACGAGGTGCCCAAGAAAGGTATGCTTGCGAGGCACACCATGACCCCATCAGAACGATGAGCATGGCGCAGCGACCACAAAAAGTTCGCCGGGAGGAGGTAACTTCCTTCTTCGAAAAAGACGCGACCCGACTACATCATCCTCACGATGATGCCCTTATGATCACGTCCCTCATAGGGCACCATAACGTCCAGAGGATGTTAGTAGATAACGGAAGTGCCGTAAACATCCTGTTCGCTTCAACTTTTGAAAGAATGAATTTGGACGAGGCCGACCTGAAGTCTGCCTCGTTCCCTTTATATGGCTTCACAGGGGACCATCTGCTCCCCAAGGGAACGATCTCACTCCCAATCACGCTGGGTGACTTCGACGAGGTGACCAAGGTAATTGAGTTCTTGGTAATGGATTGCCCATCCGCCTTTAATGGAATCCTAGGGCGACCTCTGCTGAGACACTTCAAGGTAGTCACTTCAATATACCATCTGAAGATGAAGTTCCCCACCTCGACGGGGATTGGGGAAGTTAGCAGGTCTCAGCGCTCATCTTGCGACTGCTATGTGAAAGCAGTGCAGATGGCATGCAAAGGCAAAGGCACCTCGCGCGGCAATCACAACCAGGCAATGGCGATCAGCCGGATCGAGCCATAGCCTGACCCAGCCAAAGATAATATAGATCCTCGCATTCAGGACTACCCTTCCAATGGGCCAGTTAAGGACCTGACTGAAGTGCTAGTCGACCAGAGTGAACCAAGCAAGGTGTTAAAGATCAGTAAAAATCTCAAATCCTAGCTTGCTACCGAATTGACCAACTTCCTCAGGAAGAACATCGATGTGGTCGCACGTAGATATGGTCGGGATCAGCCCAAATGTTATATGCCATGCATTAAACATCGACAGTGAAGCCAAGCCAGTTTGCTAAAAGAGGAGAGCGATGGATCCGGAGTGGTATGCTGCCTTAAAGCTTGAGGTGGACAACCTCCTCCGAAATGGATCCATCCGAGAAGCATTCTATCCGACCTGGGTTGTCAACCCAATTCTAGTAAAGAAGCCTAACGAAAAATGGTAGACTTGCGTCGACTTCACTGACCTCAACAAGGCATGTCCGAAAGATAGTTTTCCCTTACTAAGGATCGACCAGCTCGTGGATGCCACCTCAGGGCACGAGCTATTGAGTTTCATGGATGCATACTCGAGATACAATCAAATTTTGACGTACGCACCAGACGAAGAGCATACATCTTTTGTCATAGATCGGGGACTGTACTGCTACAAAATCATGCCCTTCGGCCTAAAAAACGTTGGTGCAACTTACTAGCGACTGGTTAACTGGATGTTCTCCAAACAGATAGGCAGATCGATGGAGGTCTACGTAGACGATATGTTGGTCAAGTCGCATAGCGCTTCAAATCACGTAGTACATCTCGCTGAAATGTTTGACATCCTCCGGCAGTACTGAATGAAGTTGAACCCCTTCAAATGTTCATTCGGAGTATCCTCAGGAAAGTTCCTAGGATCCATGGTTAACCAGCGGGGAATCGAGATCAACCTTGAAAAAATCCAAGCTCTCCTCGATATGAAGAGCCCGACCAACAAAAAACAGGTCATGAGCCTGAACGGGCGTATAGTAGTGCTAAGTCGCTTTATATCAAGGCTAACAGATTGTTGCTTGCCATTCTTCTATGTACTCAGGGCCAATAGGAAGTTCAAATGGACTCCCGAATGCGAACAGGCCTTCCAGAAAATAAAAGAACACCTCGGAAACCCACCACTTCTGTCTAAGCCTCTCCCGCAAGAGATCCTCTTTTTGTACCTATCTGTCTCACAGTTCGCGATCAGCGCAGCTTTAATTCGGGAAGAGAACATAACATAATGGCCAATATATTACACAAGCAAGCGCCTGTTGGATACCAAGATACGGTATCTGGAAATGGAGCGATTAGCCTATGCCCTGCTGATCGCTTCCCGAAAGTTGTGACCTTACTTCCATGCCCATACAGTTCACGTATTGACTAACTACCCGCTCAGGCAGGTCCTCCAAAAACCAGAGGCGTCAGGTAACTTGCTCAAATGGGCCATGGAACTCAGTCAGTTCGATCTCCATTACAAACTGAGAGTAGCTATCAAAGGGCAGGCTATTGCCAACTTCATATCAAAGTTCTCGCATCATCCAGCGAATGGGTCAGAATAGCCCAGTGAAATCATTCTGGAAACTGTTCAAAATCTCTCGACCTTGACCCTCTACGTCGATGGATCATCGAACAGAAAGAGGGCCGGGGTGGGTCTTCTCTTGTTGAGTCCCGAAGGGGCTCGCATTCATGGCATTCTCTGGTTTGGTTTCAAAGCAACCAATAATGAGGCCGAGTATGAAGCTCTGCTCGCTGGACTAAGTTTGGCCAGGGAAATGGGTGCAACCACGA